TCTCTCTCTCTATATATAAGCTTTGCTGGTTTTTGTTTCTCTAGAGAACCCAGTCTAACACAATTATCTATCCTAAATATATGGATATGGTTAAAGCAAATGGAAGAAATGATGAAATAAAAGAAAGCTGAACAGAAGATTTCAAAGGTCAGCTCAAGAGGACAAATTAAAGTATTATAAAGTGTGCAATGACCTGAAGTTAGAAAATCAAAGGAGAACATGCTCAGTATTTCTAAAGCTGAAAGAACTGAAGAAAAAATACAAACTTTGAGTTGCAATATTGAAGGATTTTATAGGCATAGTATTGAACAATGTAGGAAGCATCAAAAGAAGATGGAAAGGATACACAGAATCACTGAACCAAAAAGAATTGGTCAGTGTTCAACCATTTAAGGAGGTAGCATATGGTCAAGAACCAATGGTGTTAAAGGAAGAAGTCCAAACCGCACAGAAGGAATTGGCAAAAAGCAAGTTTCTAGGAATTGATGCAAAACCCACTGAGATGTTTCAACAAGCAGATGCAGCTCTTGAGATGCTTACTCATTCATGCCAAGGAATTTGGAAGACAGCTACCTGTCTAACCAGCTGAAAGATATTGATATTTGTGCTTACTTCAAAAAAAGTAACCCAACAGATGGCAGAATTATCAAACAGTATCATTAATATCACATATAAGTAAAATTTTATCAAATATTATTAAAAAGTGGTTACAGAAGTATATTAACAGGGAACTGCCAGAAATTCAAATTGGATTCAGAAGAGGATGTGAAACAAGGGATATCATTCTTCACATCAGATCAATCTTGCCTGAAAGCAGGGAATACCAGGAAGATGTTTACCTGTGTTTTATTGACTACGCAAAGGCTGTGTGGGTCATAACAAATTATACATAACATTGCAAAGAATGGAATTCCAGAGTACTGAATTGTGCTCATGAGTAACCTGTACATAGACCAAGGGGGCAGTCATTCAAACAGAACAAAAGGATACTGAATGGTTTAAAATCAGGAAAAGTGTGTGTCAGGGTTGAATATTTTCATCATATTTATTGAATCCATATATGAGCACATAATCTAAAAAGCTGGACTATATGAAGGTTTGGAGGAAGACTCATAAACAGCTTGTGATATGCAAATGACACAACTTTGCTTGCTGAAAGTGAAGAAGACTTGAAGCACTTACTGATGAAGATCAAAGACTACAGTCTTCAGTATGGATTACACCTCAACATAAAGAAAACAAAAATTCTCACAGCTGAACCAATAAGCATCACAATAAATTCAGAAAATATTGGAATTGTCAAAGATTTCTTTACTTGTATCCACAATCAACACCCATGGAAGCAACAGTCAAGAAATCAGATGTCCTACTGCACTGGGCAAGTCTGCTGCAAAAGACCTCTTTAAAGTGTTGAAGAGCAAAGATGTCACTTGGAAAACTAAGCTGGGCCTAACTCAAGCATGGTATTTTCAATAGACTTATCTGCATGTGAAAGCTGGACAACAAATAAGGAAAACTGAAGAGTTGATGCCTTTGAATTGTGGCATTGGTAAAGAATGTTGAAAATACTATGGACTGCCAGAAGAATGAACAAATCTTTCCTGAAAGAAGTGCAGCCAGAACACTCCTCAGAAGTGAGAATGTCTAGACTTTGTCTCACCTACTTTGGTCATGTGGTCAGAAGGGACCATTCTCTGGAGAAGGATATCATGCTCGGTAAAGTAGAAGGTCAGAGACAAAGGGGAAGGGCATCAATGAGATGAACTGACACAGTGCCTGCAATGATGAGCTCAAGGATCAACGATGAGCAAGGATTGTGAGGATGGTACGGGACATGCAGTGTTTTGTGCTGTTGTACATAGAGTCACTGTGAGTCACAATTGACCTGACAGCATCTAACAACAATAACAACATTAGAGAAGCTGGTTATCTTTTGTTAGAATTTAGCCAGAAGAAATTTGGAATTGGGGAGTAGCAAAGATCCTTGATAGTTTCTAGGGTATCATATTAAGATGAGTAGGCTATTAATTCAAGTGAAAGATTCACTTAGAAGCCCACTGAGATGATTAAAGTACTCTGCTGTTAACTAAAATGTTGGCAGTTTGAAATTAGCCATTCCATGGAAGAAAGATGTGTCAATCTGCTTCCATAAAGATAACAGCCTTGGAAACTCTATGGGCCAGTTCTATTCTGCCCCTTAGGGTCACTATGAGTCAGAATCTACTCAATGGCAATGGCACCAGCAGGGAAACAAATGATTGACAGTGCCTTAGACAAAAGAACAGGAAGCCTGGGCAATCTACTTCCATAGAGATACCGCCTAGGAAACCCAAGGAGGGGTCACTGAGTCGGAAGCGACTCAATGGCAGAGGTTTGGTAGACTAAAGAAGAAATGAATCATGGGAGAGTGGGAATGGCTATTCTTCTCCCTTTTTTTTTTTTTTTCCTAGTACTGTTGCTGGGAACTCTGGTAGTGTAGTGCCTAAGGCACTTGACTGCTAACCAGAAGGCTGGCAGTTCAAACCCACCAGCCACTCCTTAGAAGGAAGGTTGGGCAATTTATTTTCATAGTGATACCACCTCAGAAACCCAAAAAGGGGTCGCTATGAGTCTGACTCAACAGCACATAACAAGAACAACAACAACAGTACTGTCTCTAAAAGATCCTTAAAATTCAAGGTAGAACAAGCAACCAAGGAATAAAGGAATAGACATTACAGCTTCTTTATCCACTGTTCAGATACACACAATTATAAAATTTTTGTGAGGAACTCAAGCTCCTGGGTAAGGAAAAAAGATTTAATGGACAGAATATTTATAACATTGGCGGGCATCTTCAAAAGCTTACTTTTCTCAGTATATAAAAGTTTCTGAAAATAAGAGAATTATGGCAAATAGACTAAAAAGAAGGGGGGGACAAAGATAAGAAACACTTTACATTTCTAATAAGTAGTTGGACATGTAATGGTTACTGAATTATGGATGCTTGAAGGCTGGATCCTCACCCAGAGAGAGTCTGTGTCCATCGCTACCAGGGTAGCAGGCAACACCAACATCTTCCCGATGGGTGCAGTCATGTCTTCCCCACTGTCTCCTGGAACACTGAAGAAAACTGGTTTCCTTTCCTGAGCAGCTGACATCATCCAGCCATATGGGCCCTGTGCTTTCTTCAAAATGGTTTGCAGAGGCTTGTTTGCCATATCTGTAGCAATAAAATAAACATTTTGCATAGAACTGCTATCTCTTATTTCAAGGAACCACAAAGCATAAAACAAACAACCTAATTAAGTGCTGTGACTTCAGAGGATGAGTATTTGTTCTTTTTCCTCCCTTGCGGACCAGGTTCTAAGAGCAGTGCTTGCAGCATTGCACATTTTAACCATCTTAACAATCTTTTTATTATTTCAATAGGTGGCTAGTGAATAATTAATGCTTTTTCTCCATTCGTCTTTGTGTTATGTCTACAATTTAACCCACCTACTAGAGAGAATGCAGAAAAAGAGATAAATCTCAAATTCCTGAAATCAAAATCTTGAAATATAGTGCCATGGAAAGAACACTGTGAACCAGAAATGAAAACACTTGTCATATGTCTCTCTCTCTGACGAGCCATCTGAGCTCATTCACTTTTATTAGACTCTTTCAGGCCTTACCCTATACCTAACGATATCAAGAAGGTATCCCTTTCTCCAAAATGAAAGTGTTTATTAGTTAAGTGATTCCTCAAGCACTATACCTAATCCATGATGAAATTTGGATTTCTGTCCATCAAAATGAGATTAATGACTATGTTCCCAGTTATTAATAAATTTAGGTAAATTCAATGTTTTAATTTTGATAAATTACATTTGTGTTCCAAAAAATTAGTAACCAAAATACCAAACTCACTGCCGTTGAGTCAACTTGACTCATAGCGACCGCTTCTTGGGTTTCCGAGGCAGTATCTCTACGGAAGCAGATTCCCCAGTCTTCATTCTGAGGAGTGTCTAGTGGTTTTGAACCACCAGCCTTCTGGTTAACAGTCAAAATGCCTCAAGCACTACACCACCACTACACTACAAAAACAAAAAACTAAGTCATATAAAATATATAACCTTTGCTGTCAAGTCAATTTCAATTCATAGTGACCTTATAGGATGGAGTAGGACTGTAAATCTTTACAGAAGCAGACTGCCACATCTTTCTCTTGCACGATGGCTGGTGGATTTGAACCACCAATTTTGGTTAACAGCTAAGCATTTAACCACTGCATCACCAGGGCTCCTTTAAATAATGTTTTGGTTACCTTGTGCTGCTCTAACAGAAATACCATAAATGGGGTGGCTTTAATAAACAGGAGTTTATTCTCTTAGAGTTTGGAGGCTTTGAGTCTGGATTCAAAGTGCCAGGCTCTAGGGGCTGGGTAAAAGCCCCTCAACCTTGAGCTTCAGCTCTGCCTCCTGCTCCTGGCCCACTGAAGCTGGAAGATTTTCTTCACTCAGACAGCTGCTGACTGCTGAGGCCGACAAACCCAAAGTCGACAAGTAAAAAGGCACAGTCTCAATGTTACCAAACAACATGGCAGGCCTCTAATTCAAATCCACAAGAAGTCCCAAGATCAGCAGGGGATGGCAGGCTGCTAAAAAATGACTTGGCTAAATGCAGGGTTCAAGCATGCCAAAAAGCTAGAGACCATTCCCAAAGCTGCTACTTATACATGGGAAGCAGGTGGTAGATCCCATCATGGAGCTGATTGCCAGTCTCATCATGGGGAATGACTACCACCAGCTGCCCAGCCACTCAACCAGGCCCAGCCAAGTTGATAGACAACCTTCACTACCACACTTTATATGCTATAGAAATAGAAAAGATGGGGGAGGGGAGGTAATTAAGTCACTCTGCACTTTCTTTCAGCCTCCCACCAATTTTGTATTCTTTTGTTCTGTAAAATCTAAAACTCCAGAAATCGCTGACCTAAGATCTTTGAGTTGTATTTCAGTTCTGAGAGTCTATGAAATTCAACTCTTCCTCATAAGTTTTACATCAATCATTTCCTTCACTGGAAGTTTTATTATTTCTGTACTAATAATGGGAGTTTCTTACATGCCTGGCTACTAACCAAGAGATTGGCAGTTTGAAGCCATCCAGAAGCTCCTCAAAAGAAAAGCCTGGTGGTTTACCAAAAAGATCACAGCCATTTGAAAACCCTATGGAGCACAGTTCTACCCTGATACATATGAGGTTGTCATGAACAGGAATCAACTCAGCAAATGGTTTGGTTTTAGTGATACTAAAACTATGAAGAGGTCTTTCTATCTGGTATAATTTTCCTATTCCTTTATTAATTAAATTTATTTAGCAAGATGATTTTAAGGAATTAATACAGTGCAACTTTTAATTAATCATTTGAGGCTTTTTCTCTTATTTTGCTGGCTTAACGGTGGTGTAATAAATTACATAGTACAGCTTTTCTAGTCATAGTCTTTGTAACTCCTGCTTTGCCATGAACAACTGAGTAGCTGCTTGTTAAAGTCATCCACCTGGGGCAGCATAAAGTAATCTTCTGGGAAAGTTCTCTCTCTTTCTCAGGTGTGTAGAACTCTGATGTTGGGATTGGTTAGTTTTGCCACTTTGCCAGGCTCATAAAGAACCCTCCTAGAGGCAGAAGGAATCTCTCACTGCCAGCTGAGAGGGACGCACTGCTGAGAGAGAGAGATGCATGGCTGAGAGAGACATGTTGCTGAGAGACAGACTTGAGAGAGACATGCTGTTGCAAGAGAGATGTGAAAGAGACGCACTGCTGAGAGAGAGAGATGCATGGCTGAGAGAGACATGTTGCTGAGAGACAGACTTGAGAGAGACATGCTGTTGCAAGAGAGATGTGAAAGAGACGCACTGCTGAGAGAGAGATGTGCTACTGAGAGAGGATGAGCTGCTGAGAGAGACAGCCTGCTGAGAGAGACTGAGCACATTCCTGAACTTGAATTGTAGCCTGTTGCTTCCCTAATAAACTTCATAATCTGTGAATTCTGTGTGGCTACTGCAGCAAATTATCAAACCCAGCAGAGTGGTGGTGGGTGCCATGGGAGGGATGGTTGGTGTCAAGATTGTTAAGAGGGCTGGAGGGTGGCAGCATGTCTGGCCTCATAAGAACAGGTCTTGGGCTGCTGGTGGTGATTGTGTTTTCCTCTTGTGAAGTTAGAGGAGGTTAGAAGATGCAACCTCCTTGCCCTTTTGGCACTAATCAAGGCTTAGCTACAAAAAGTAATTAATCTAAATCGCATATTACTATTATTTTCAACTTTTACCTTTCTTCACAAAATGCATCAATCTGATTATCATTGGCCCATATCAACTATATAACAGAAAGTTATTGTTCTTTGAGGTTTCATTTGTACAAAGAAATTCTCAAAGTTTACCCTCTTTGTAATTCCAAAAGAATATTTTCTTCCAGAAATCCTTCAGTAAACTGAAAAAGTAAGTGTAGCACATGCTTTTACTACATTCTAACACAATCATTTAGAATTTTCAACACATTATTGAGAACATTTTAGAACCATTAATTTCTGATATCCCAGTGCAAGTAAAATGGAATGGACCCAGAAACAAAATAAGTAAAATATGGAGAAAATCAGCCTTTCTCACTTGTTATCATTAACAAAGAAGAAATTATGAAAATAAATAGTAAATAATAGAATGTATTAATTGTTGAAATCTGTGAAAAAGGGTGTCATTGTTGATCTAACAGATTCAATTAAAGGTGGAATGGTATTTATTAAGTAATTCTTAATGATACATCATATTTCCTGGCTGTTATATCATACCCCTTGACCTAATAATTGCACTGTCCAAGAAAAATCAAAATATAGGAAAATTATGCACATTTATATTTTCACAACAGTATTATTTATAATAAACCAAAAAACAAACTCACTGCTGTCGAGTCAATTTCGATTCATAGCGACCCCTCCTTGGGTTTCCAAGGCGGTATCACTACGGAAGTAGATTGCCCAACCTTCCTTCCAAGGAGTGGCTGGTGATAGGGAAAATAAAACTAACCAAAATATTAGGTAAATTACAGTATGAACACTAAATAGGTATTATATCATTAAAATTATGACAATACAGCTATATAAAAGTGAAAAGGCAGGATATAACAATTACATGTTGTGAATTTGGGAGGACCAAAGGGCAGAATGTTATGAGTTGTAAATCCTAACCCCTATATCTGTGGTTAAAATCTCATTTGGGAATGGGTTTTCTTCATTATATTAGTAAAACACGATTATTATAAGGTGTGTCTTAGTCGATCTCTTTTGAGATACAAGACACTAAACAAGCAAACAAGAGAAGCAGGAAGACAGAAGAAGGCACATGCCAAGCCACATGAAGATTCCCCAAGAGCAGAAGCTCAGAAGATGCAAGGGTCGTCCTGTGGAGCCAACAGAGAGAGAAAGATTTCTCCCAGAGTCAGCACCATGTATTCAGACTTTTAGTTTCTTAAACTTTGAGAAAACAAATTTCTGTTTGTTGAAGGCCAAAATAAACAAACAAAAAATTGTATGTTCACTACTATAGCTGATAAAATGTTAAAACACACAAGTTGTAATAGTATGGTGAAAAATGGAAAGGTTATGGATATTTTCTTCTTTTTTTCTCTTTTTCAAATCTCTCTAATGTTTTATAAATTAAAAAAAAAAACAACCTTGTTTAAAGCCTTGATTAGCATGAATAAAGGTATATTATTAAAGTTTAGTGAATTAGCTCTATTTCATACCAAATGAAATAATTTCACCAATAGTGTTAAAGCTTGAGACAATGACTTCAAAAATAACATAGAAATATGAAAAGCAAAAAATGTGAGAATCTTGGGTCCCATTCAAATATTATGGGAAAGACATCATTTACAGTTACTTTGACCAACTTATTAAGTCTTTACCCTAGAATGCATTATTTGTGTGATCTGAAATACATTTCCAAGTGTGATACTCAGCTTTCAGAAGGGTGAGGGCAAGGGTAAGATCTGAAGGTCATCTCCTGACAAAACAAACCAAGCCCATCACCATTAAGGTGATTACAACTCACAGTGACTCTATACAACAAAGTGGAACTGCCTTGGAGTTTCCAAGGCTGTAAAAATCTTTCTGGAAGCAAAATGCCATATCTTACTCCCATGGAGGGGTGGTAGGCTGGAACTTACCAGTTAGGTTTACTTAGTTAGCAGCTGAGTGCTTAACCACTGCATCTCCATGCTCCCATCTCATGACAAGAAGACTGTTTTTCTCAAATAAAAGTGTTAATTATTGTCACATTCTGGAAAGGGAATAACGTAATACCAAAGCATTTGACACAGGACTTCTCTGCAATTTTAAAGACAATGATGTCAGAACTAACAAAATCCAATAGTAGTGATGCACCAGAATACAATAGAGAATTCAAAGTATACAGTCTTACTTGAAGAAACAAGAAGCGTTCTAGAAGTTATCCTTGACTTCAATCAGTTATTCAAGAAGGGAGGCGGTGAAAGGGAAGAAAAATATGGTAAAGAGCAGGAGGTGCTTTTTCATCATCTTAGAAAATATAATTGTTTTTTACTGTTGCACTTGCATGGATGATAGATAGATAGATGAATGGATGGATGGATGGATAATGGATGGAAGGATGGATGGATATTTTTATTAGTTGCCATGGAGTCAGCCCTAGCTCATGGCAATCCCATGCACAATGGACCAAAATATTGCCCAGTCCTACATCATCCCCACAATCAGTTTCAGATTGAACCATTTTGATCCATAGGGTTTTCACTGCTAATTTTTTGAAGTAGATCATCAGGACTTTCTTCCTAGTCTGTCTTAGTCTATAAGCTCCACTGAGACCTGTTCAGCAGTATAGCAACATGCAAGCATCCACTCTGACAGACATGTGGTGGCTGTGCAGGAAGTGCACTGGCTGGGAACCAGACTTGTGTCTCCTGCACAGAAGGCAAGAATTCTACCACTGAATCACTACTACCCCCTAGATAGACAGACAGACAAATAGATAGGCCACAGAACATGTATTTTTCATGTTCCAGAAACTACAAGTAGGGATTATAAAATGAGACTTTCAAAAATATAATTTAGCATCTGAAAGGATCTTACTTAAATCCTAGCTGTCGACAAACCACATATGTATTTAGTTCCGTCCAGCCATCATCACAGACAGTGCCCCACTGGCCCTGGTAATACAACTCCAAGCGACCCTCATGGCTGCCTTTGCCACCTTGAAGTCTGATGATCCCATCTGTGATGAGAAAGAGACAGAGACTAAGCAAACCAATTCTCAAAAAAAGGAAAAGCAGCATTTTCATTTCACTAGAAATGTCACCATATTCAGGCCTTTCTAGGCCTTCTGTTAAACTATTATATTAGGACTATACTCCATGAAAATCTGACATCAAAGAATAGTTTCTAAAGTTTGATTTAACATATATTTGTTCTACTAAAATAGTCTTTCCTTTTGTTAAATATAATATAATATATTACGATATAATTCTAAATTAAATATTTGGAAATATTAAATATTTGGAAAATTTCCTATAACTTCACTCTCCTCTAAGAAATACTGGTCATTTGAATTTAAAAAGCAAGAAAACAGAGTAACATAGAAATAGTTTAAAAATTTACTGCAAATGAAAAAATATTGAAATATGAAGACAATTAGTTGTTTGGGATGAAGAGTAATCTATAATGTCAGTGCATTTAATGTTCCTTGTTAGTTGCCACTGAGTTAGCGTCAATTCACGTCAAACCCACCTACAAAAGAATGAAACATAGTTCCTGCACCATCTTCATGACTGTTGGTATACTCAAGCCCATTCTTGTGGCTACTGTGTATTTTTAGTGCCTTCCAATCTAGGGGGCTCATCTTCCAGCACTACATTGAGCAATATTCTATTGTGATCCATAGAGTTTTCACTGGCTAGTTTTTGGAAGTAGATTGTAAGGCTTTTCTTCCTAGTCTATTTTAGTCTGGAAGTTCTGCTGAAACTTGTCTACCATGGATGACCCGCTGGTATTTGAAATACCAGTGGCATAGCTTCTAGGATCACAGCAACAGGCAAGCCACTACAGTACAACAAACTGACGGGTGGTGGTATTAGTACTGTTGTTGCTGTTGTTGTTGCATGTCATTGAGTCAGTTGTGATTCTTAGCAACCCTATGTGCAATAGAATGAAACACTGCCTGGTCTTGGACCATCCTCACAATCACTATGTTTAAGCCCATTGTTTCAGCCAATGTGTCAATCCACCTTGCTAAAGACCTTCCTCTTTTTTACTGACCTACTTTACCAAGAATGATGTCATTCTCCAGGGACTGGTCCCTCCTGATAACATGTCTAAAGTTCATGAGACAAACTCTTGCCATCCTCACTTCTAAGGAGGATTCTGGTTGAACTTTTTCCGAGACAGATTTTTCATTCTTCAGGTAGTCCATGGTATATGCAACATTCTTCATTAATACCATAATTCAAAGGCATCCATTCTTCTTTGGTCTTCCTTATTCAGTGTCCAACTTTCTCATGCATATGAAGCAATTGAAGACAATGGCTTGGGTCAGGCACACTTTAGTCCTCAATGTGACATCTTTGCTTTTTAACTCTTTAAACAGGTCTTTTGCTGCAGATTTTCCCAATGCAATAGTCTTGATTTACTGACTGCTGCTTCCATGGTTGTTGATTGTGGAGTCAAGCAAAATGAAGTGCTTGACAACTTAAAAATTTTCTCTATTTTTCATGATGTTGCTTATTGGTCCAGTTGTGAGGATTTTGTTTTCTTCATGCTGAGGTATAATCCATACAAAGGCTGTAGTCTTTGATCTTCATCAGTAAATGCTTTATTAGCAAAGTCCTCTTTGCTTTCAACAAGCAAGGTTGGGTCGTCTACATATAACAAGTTGTTAGTAAGTCTTCCTCCAATTCAAATGCTGCATTTTTCTTCATATGGTACAGCTTCTTGGGTTATTTTCTCAGCATACAAAATGAACAAATATGGTAAAAGGATACAACTTTGACACACATCTTTCTTGATTTTAAATAATACACTATCCCCTTGTTCTGTTCAAGCAATTGCCTCTTGATCTAGGTATAGGCTCCACATGAGCACAATTAAGTGTTCTGGAGTCCTCATTCTTCACAACGTTATCCATTATTTGTTATGATCCACACCGTCACATGCCTTAACACAGTCAAAAAAAAAAATCTGGTTATCATTCAGCCATTCAGATTCATCTGACATCAGGATTGATATCTCTCATTCCATGTCATTTTCTGAATCCAGCTTGAATTTCTGCCTGTTCCCTGTCATTGTACGGCTGAAACTCTTTTTGGATTATCTTCAGCAAAATCAGTCCTTTCGTAGCCATATGTCATACACTATATATAAATTATAAAAACTGGAGTGCATGTCTTTCCTTTGTTCATTCATTGATAATACAAATCCAAATTTGAATTTTATAAACTAAATGAATAATTGATCTCCAGAGAATCCTATAAAGAACTTCCAAATAGATACACAATACAAAAAACTCATCTTAAAAAAGAAGATTTAAAAGTCATTTCCATTCAAAGTAATCTCATACCCCCATTAAAACATATAAACAATCTTGAGTAAAGGTCACACTTTGCAGGAATCTTCAGGGTTTTTTTTTAAAAGCAAATGAAAGACTCTAAGTAACAGCAGAACCATCTACTACTGTAACATTTCACAGTCTGCAAAGCACTATTATACATATTACCCAAGTTGACCATCACAGTAATACCATAAGGCCAGCATAACAGGTATTACTATACTCATTTGAAAGAGTAGGAAATGGAGGCAAGAAGATGAAGTGCTCTTGGCATAAATCACATGTCCTAAGAGATAACTGGGGACTAAGAAGCCAGGTCATTTTCCCTAACCCAAAGCCTTTCCACAATAACAAACAGTCTCATATATTGCTATTAATAGTAAAAGGTCATATTTCCTTTGTGTATAAATGTGTTACTCTGCTGATAAAAACAACAGTTGTATTAACTACATAAATAAACCAAAACCCAAACCCACTGCCTTCGAGTAGATTCTAACTCATAGCAACCCTATAGGACAGTGTAGAACTGCCCCATAGAACCTACAAGGCCATAAATCTTTATGGAAGCAGACTGCCTCATCTTTCTCCACAGAGTGGCTAGTGGGTTCAAACTAAGTAAACAGAATGGCATAAATTCAGCACTTGAAAGGCTCTAAAAAGTCTTTCTTTCCAATTTTTTCCAAAGAAAGATTTAAATAAACATTTTATTCCTGAAGTTCTTTTTGCTATAGGGTAGATTTCTGATCACTGAACTTTTCTTACCTGTCCGTTTTCTCACAAAATGTGTAATTACATTAGATGTGTACCCATTTGCCTTCACATATAACCTTCACACGGCATTTTGACAAGTACACTGTTATTTGGGATAGTCAGAAAACTAGGTAGGCACAGCAAAGTTACTTTGGTCTCTTTGTTGTTGTTGTTGTTGTTATGTGCCATCGAGTCAGACCTGACTCATAGCAACCCTTCCTTGGGTTTCCAAGGCAGTATCACTACGGAAGTAGATTGTCCCATCTTCCTTCCAAGGAGTGGAATTTGGTCTCTTTAATACCAGCTATATTCTAAGAGTCAAGACAACTTAACAGAAAAATAGACTAAATATAAAATTATAACACCTAATATCTGAAATTTACCATTTGTTATCCCGTAAAAATATGTTGTAAGTCCTAAACTCCTATACCTGTGGATGTAATCTTATTTGGGAATAGGATTTTCTTTGTTATGTTAATGAGACCATATCAGTGTAGGCTGTATTTTAAGTCAATCACCTTTGAGATATAAAAAGAGCAGATTAGGTAAAGAGAAGGAACCACAAACAAAAGGGAAGATACAAGCCACAAGAAGATCCTAAAGGAATCAAGGAACAGAAGCTGAAAAGAGAAAAGGACCTTCCTCCAGAGCTTACAGAGAAAGCCTTCTAGAGCTTGTTGTTGTTGTTGTTATGTGCCGTCGAGTCAAACCCGACTCATAGCGACCCCTCCTTGGGTTTCCGAGGCAGTATCACTATGGAAGTAG